AACAAATTCAAATAATAAACAAATGAGAAAAGAAACCTAAAAACCTAAAAAAAAAAAAAAATTCCCCTAAAAATATATTTTTTGGACATTGTTGAAAGTAACAGATAATAACATTGGGCAATGTATTTATATGATATATAAAAAAATAGAGCATAATAACATACTTACTCAATATTATTTGTCATGTATGACTCACCAATGCTATAAATATAAAGGCACCAGCTGTATTTCCACTTTGTGGACACTTCTTACTACTATTCTTCGTCTTTGTGCATCAGACAGCTGCTTGCATCTCTCTCTTATTTCATTATCCATCAGTTCCAGTTAATAGGAGCTGTTCTTTTCGACAAAACTTTTTTTTTTTTTTAAATATTCGTCTAAAATGAATTTCTGAAAATATTTTGGTGAAAGTTTCACGACACTGAAGTCAATAAGTTGGAGAGTTGTTTAACATTTTTAAGTAATTTTGATATATTTCAAGTATTTTTCAAATTATACCCCCCTTATGCTGAGCAGTTTGAGTTAAAAAATGTTCCCTAGTCTTGAATTGGCAATAGTTCTATTTTCTGTTTTATTTAACACAACACTAATACTGTACTGAACAGCATCTCGGATTTATGCAGGGAATATTGTGAAAAAACACAGTAGAAATAGAACTTAGAGGGTTGCACTTTTGAGGTCTGCGAAAGTCCACTTATTTTTCAACTCCATTCAGAAAGAATCTGTTCAAATATACAGCACCGATGCTGGTAACTATTCCTGATTCTCAGCCCCAAATACAGTATTGTATTATGTATTATAGAAGGCTTGCAAGGTTCTGTGATGTAAGAATACTGTATAGTGCATAACGTACGTGTATGAGGGATAACAAGGTTCAAATGATGTGTTTGGTAGCTCACTTGGGGTGGCAGCACAAGGGAACTATAACTCAATAACTCAAATTTAAGCTCGGCCATGTGTAATGCAAAATATAATCCCCACACTTTAAAATTATTAACCAAACATTATGATTGTTTATGGGGGTTCCTGCTGAACACAGCATCTGTCATCATGCAAAGTGCAATGCAGTGCAGTGCTGTGATTTTTGCTCATTCAAGCTGGTTTTGCTGATCTTTCTATACAGTGGAATACTGTAGTTCTGGATCAGCTGGTTTGTAACATCACATAGCAAAATGTGCTACAAAAAGGGTTAAAGTATTCAACAAAAAGTTTGTTTTGTGTTATGATTATGGCATAAAATATGCTCATAGTGTGTCATTTTGAATCATACAAATACTGTAATAGTAATAAGGGAAATGTGGAATTTGTAATCAAGAGTTTGCAGCAACAAATGGATCAGTACAGTATTTTATGTTAAATTTACCTTTTCTATATTATTTTAGTACAGTATTAACACCTGTATAAATACATAATCTTATTTATAATAAGATCATATGCAAAATGTTGGAACAACAAAAACATTGTTGCACAAAAATTATACATTTCTCTGCAACATAAATGCCTGCAGTAGAAGGGCCCAGAACCAGTGAAACTGGATAATGGAGTGGTCATTATATATTATTGAGAATTAGGATCATTATGCATTATAGAAGAATGCAGTACTTGTTGCTGTGTTCTTAGGGGAATAATTATTAATTTGAAACTGAATGAATTTTGTATTCATTATCCATAATTTGTTGCAGAATTTCTAAGAGAGAACATTACTCTTTAGTAACTTTTCTTATGTTATTGGCATCTAAGGTTCATTCAATAATGTTAAAAGGCACTTTCCACGCTCTCCTTCATCTGTTCTTTTTTTTTTTTCTCTTAAAGTTGTATAAATACAGCTGCAGTTGTACTGATGCATTCTACTCCCATTGTTCTACCTCTTCAATTTAAATAGCCAGTCCTTGTTCACGGGATTGTGAGACTGATTGATCTCCTTTAAACTGTCCACGTAGCAGACTGAGCCCTCTCAATTCTGGTACTAATCAAGTTACAAGTTTCCTCTTGTGCTTCACAAGGTGTTGGTTTCATGATGGTACTGAATATTCCAGTAATGATTTAACATGGGCAGTGTATATGGATTTTAAAGTCTCATTGTTTAGATTTTTAAATGGTGTTCTTGTGCATGCAAGGTATGCATGCAAACCTTCCATATTCTGCTGAGTTTCTTGTGGTAGTGTTGGAACTACATCCACTCCCAGGTCTTTTTGTCTTAATTGTTTATTGCAGTTGCCTTCTCCTTATACTGTATTGTAATTACCTACAGTACAGGTCTCCAGTCTTCCATTTGCAGCCATTTATCTGCCCACTCCTAAAATTTGTCTTGACTGCCCACTCCAGTCTTCTTGCAGCACTCAACAGTCCTCTTGAATTCTTTTCCTCATTAAATGTGTAGAATCTGCAGTTATTAACATGGACAACCAGGTCAGTGTGGGTGTGGCCATTCAGGTCATATTGTTATAAATGGGTTCCCAAATAAGTGCTAACTACACATTCTTTGCATATTATTTTAGGAATTAGGATTATCCCTAATCCTAATTCCTGTTGACAAAATTTTTTGGGATATTCACAAGTACAACTCAACAATTGAGCTGGTATTTATATTGTGGGTGGCATGTTGCTATAGAAAACTGATCTTTACTAATTTAATAAATGTGTGGTCCATTGACACATGGAGTAGCAGACTACAGAAATAATCAGGCAGACATATTTTCGTTCCCAAGCAGAATCTAGTCAACACATTGTACTTATGGGGAGAGTAAATAATTACTTGTCGATATATAAATTATACAAATCGTACTTACATTATATAAATTGTACTACATAGCATGAATAAGCACAACACACTCCAGCAGAAATCAACAGCAGCATGTGTATGAGATCAGCACTTCTGTTTAATTGTCATACAGTAGTATATACAAATACAATCACTCCCTCTCTGAAAGCAGGTTCCTCTGAACCTTGCCATGTTACAACCCTTGTGTTATATACCAGGTATATTAAAGGCACATTTTCTTACATACTTCCATGTTCTCATGTACTTTCTGATCATGTTTGTTGTTATCCAACTCTCAACAATTGATGTTGAACATTGGAAAATTTAAATACCAGTGATGACTAAAACTCTTTTAATACCAAATACTTTCAACAGAGTTACAGTATATGACATAACTAGTTAAAAGCCTCCAAACACCAGTATTGAAGTGATACTCTAAACTGTTCTTAAATAATTGGCTCTTGAGCATTTATCATGCCTGCCTACCTATATACAGTACCTTAAACTCTTTTTTGAGGTACACTATTTAATTGAGAGAAGTGGATCTAGGCAAAAGCTTCAATGGTTCCAGTTTAAACGTAGATATAGGAACATCCTGTGGTAGCAGGTCATGAGTGCATGGAGGTTGGTATCATTATTCTTGTTTGATGTAATATTGCCCAGCACAAAACACCCCGCCCCCACAGTGTAAGTTGAAATTAGTTCTAAAGGTGGCCACATTGCTCGAGTATGAGGTGGCCATAGGATATGACAAAAAAAAATAAGCGTAGTGGAACAGTGGGTCAAAGCAAGCATGTTTTCATTGTTGAGAAATCATTCGTTCCAGTGGTAGTTTTGTTAAAATTCCTGCAATAAGGCAGGGTTTATATTATATGGTTTATTTTGCTTATGCATAACTTGGCAAGGAATGACAGCTTTTGTTTTGCTTAATATCATGATAAAAATGTTCTTTATATCTCCCGAAATGCAAATTCATAAATTAAACTTATTTGTTGGTCTTAGAAAATTCTAGTTCTCCAGTTTTCGGTTTATTAACTTAGATCTAAATAAAATTTATGCTAAGGTAACATTTGTCAAAAGATATTACATGCTACACGATCATTGTACGCTGGTTGTTGGCAGAGGCTTGAGCAATTTGTGGGCAGCATTGAAAGACTAGGCTGAGCCCACGCTCATATTTTGCAGGAGTTGGTTGTCCCTGGGGATGGCTGCAGTGGGGCATCAGGAGGCGTGTTGGTGTGTCCAGTGTGTGGCAAGACAGCCCAAGGCCGAAATCGCCGACAGAATATGGACAACCACATGCTTACGCACACTGGGGAGAGGCCCTTCCAATGCACGATGTGCCCTTATAGAGCATCACAGCAGGGTAACCTGAAACGGCATCTTCGGGCAGTTCACAAGCAGGCTGTGGATGATCCTTGTTTGAACTCTCTCTCTGGTTCTCTTCACTATTCAGAAGTGAATCCCATTCTTCCTCATCATCATTCTCAACCTGGAGGTGTAACATCACAAATCCAAGCAACACAAAATTTTGAATCTAATGTTTCAAGTTTGCTTCATAATTCAAGTGATCAGTCTGGAACGCCATCACAATCCACTCACACAATAAGGGATGAAGAGCCACCATTTGGTCTTCATCTGCGTCTTAAAGCAGAAGCAGAACCTGCTGCTCGTTCTTGCCCTGAAACAGGTCTCTGAAATTGTAGGTTTACCAACACGAAGTATGACAAACTTAATACTTGGTAGCTTTAGAGATTGGCATTGATTCCTGCCCTATGCACAAAGTATTTGAATTAGTGGCCATTGTTTACTAAGAATATGACTTGATTAACTGAAGTATATTCAGTTACTGTACAGGTTTAATAATGCAAAAATGGGAAGATGGGTCATCTGGAAATGGCAGCTTAAGAGCGCATAGCGTGCGCGATGTGGAGGACTGAGGAAGGTGTTGTTTGTGTTGCAGGAAGCTGTGCATGGGGTGGCGGAGGGTGTGGCGACACGCAAGCTGGCCTGTCCAATGTGTTCCAAGGTCTTCCACGGGACAAAGCGCAAGTACCGTCTTGACAGGCACATGTTAGTTCACTGGGGACTGAAACCTTTCAAGTGCCCTCACTGTCCCTATCGTTCAACACAGCAGAATAATCTAAATAGACACATGAAAAATGTCCATTCTCAGATAATAGGTCCCATGCCAGAGAGTGAAGAAACTATACAAAGAAACTCTCCACTGTCCAGTCATCATAGATTGTGGCATCATGAGTCTCCAAGTCTCCAAGTCTTGCACGAAGAATATGCACATTCATCTAAGAGAAATCAGGAAGGTCCATTGTCCTGTGAGACAGTGAGCCATCACAGTGATAATCATTTGGAACAGGATACAGGTATACTCAAAACAATGTAAAAATTCAGATTGATGTGTAAAAAAAACATGTAGAAATACAGTATAGGTTTGTGGTGGTAAATAAGTTAAATAATAATGTTACTCGATTGTGATCAAGCATTCATAAAAATAGCAGTCAGTGGTCAATAGCTACCCTCACAGAACTGCGGATGTTACCAGCAAGGTACCCTGGACTTGATGCCCACTGCCGTCCTAGCTGGAGCTGTATGCTGCTCTTGAGACATGCCTTGACCATGGCCTGGTGTGTTGCAGGCGGCGCTACTCGAGGTGGAGGCGGTACTAGCTGATGAAGATGACGACGAGATGGCATCCGAGGAAGTTGCAGTTGATGGCGGAGAAGATCTTGTTGGCGGAGGCAGTTGTGTCATCAGTGGAGCCATGGCGGCATCCTCATGTCAGGTCTGTGGCAAAGTGTTCCAGGGCACCAAACGCAAGTACCGCTTGGAACGCCACATGGCCATCCATACTGGCGAGAAGCCATACTCTTGCCCAATGTGCGACTATCGTGCCAACCAAAAAGAACACCTGAGTCGTCATATAAGGAACCTACATAGGCTTCAAACATCCCAGGTTCACAGCAGTGCCCACCATGCCCATGCTGCAGCCACTTGATCATATATCGCTGTTAATAAGGTGTGACCTTTATATTTACTTGTAATGACCTCTTGTTTATTTGCATCCAAGAAATATGACCAAGTGCATAAATTGTTTTCATTTATTGAAGCTCGTATGCTTGCCAGTTTACTTTATTAATATGCAGCCAGAGAGGAATACATCTGTAGTTTATGCAATAAGGCAGTAGTTGTGGAGCCATCACTTAAGATGATGTAGGGCTCCTCGTAGCGTGGACAAAAGCTAAAGAAGCGAGTCTATAGGTAGTGGCTTCTCCATTGCAGGATTCGGAGGACGGAGTGGATCGCTGTGCCCTATGCGGCAAAGAATTCACTGGGAAGAACAGGCGAAACAATCTGGTACGTCATGTCAAGACACATACTGGAGAGAAGCCTTTCTCTTGCCCCTGTTGCTCCTACCGTGCCTCTCGAAAGGAGCACATGATACGCCATTTAAAAAAAGGATCGTGTGTATATCATCGTTTTAGAGCTGGGGAAGGAGGAGGAGTAGACAATTCCAAAGAAGCTTGCAATGATGGTGTGAAGGCTGTAGTGAGCATGTACTTGGCACAACTCACTGCCGCTCCTGGAACCCATTCCAACCGTCATTCTGAACCTGAACCAGATGTGAATATTTAATTGACATTTGTTAGACTGTTTCTTTAGAAATATGGGAAACTTGATATTTTTTAATCATCTTCTTAAAATAACTTCTTAAAGTTGGTGAAATTTTTGCCATTTTTGTATAAAAATGCATTATAGGACTGGGTATATGCATATTGATAAGAGTACTAATCTCCCATACTGTTGTAAAGTATGTATTTGTATTTGTTGTAAATAATGGTATTATAAGCATTCCTTGCTGATTATATTTTTATCAGACATTCCTGAGCCATAGTGATAGACTGAAATATAATATAGTTGTACAATAATTGCTTTGTATCTGATGGATCAGTCCTGACCAAGACATTAATGTATTTTATTTACAGGTTGGCTTTTTGTAACTATTGGATGATGGAGTAACATTAATATGTTATACTTTGTGATATTGTAACCAGTAAACATTTGCTTAGCTCTCCTACCTAGCTTTTTTATGTAGAATTTTTTGGGATAAATAAATTATACAGTTAAAATATGGGTACTTTTTTTTATCCATAGTGTATTTTATTGTCAATTTATTGTCATACCAAATCACGTACAGTACATAAATGCTCATTAGATGTAGATATTGAAAAGAAGAGAGATGTCTAGGACAAATGCAAGCTCAAAAATCATTTTTAAATATTAATATCTCATCTTTTACTTGTACTGTATATGTACTGTATATTCATGCAGTCCTGTTATTTATTACTTCTGTGTATGGAATCATCATAAACAATTTATCTTAACAATACAATCAAACTCCTTGAAATGTTTTACCTTCTGTTATCCCGAACCTTCCTTAATGTTACCATTAACTTTTCCATCAGTTTCTGATATGACATGTATTCTTATTTACCACATACATGCTTGCTTCATAAAGTCAGAGCCTATGCAATAGTTTCTAAATATCCATATTTGAATTTCTTATTTGTGATGATTGAAAAGATTGTCACCTTATTCCCTCGAACTGTTCTTTGTTTTTTCCTTCAACTTTTCCTATTGTATTTGCATATCACTGATTACTATTTTGTTAATTCATTTGATCCTCTTTTACTCCAACACATTTGTCAACAGTATATTATTGACAGTATTGACTAAGCATGTACAGTATTTGCTTAACGTCTCTCTTGCACTTTAAAAGTCGTCACGTTATTCTTCATTAACATAATTATCCACAGAACTGTTCGTGTGTCAATAATTCTAAATATAAACTACATTACACTATATGTATACAGTACAGTGCATAAAATATTTGAAACAAACTAAAATTTGACATTACGATACAATTTATAAACTTGAGCAATAGTATTAAAAAAAATATTCACAAAAGAACAGGAATTGAACATATCGTTGCACAATGGAATGTTGAGGCTTGTCCATGCCCAAAGAATTTCAGTGCTAACTCTAAACATTTGAAATAAATACACACCTACTATTAAACATGGAAATATTGTATGACCAGTTATCATAGTAAAACTATTGTCAAACAATAGCTCAAAACACACAGGCAATACTGCAAAAAAGGACATGGAAATGTGCCCAAGCCATGGTCATTCCAACTACAATACAATCGTTTTTCAAAGCGTTATCTGACAGAGTGCTGGGAAGACGGGACACCATGAGCGTAGCTTCATCCTGGAACTACATTTAGGTAATTTACACTTAGGTAATTACATATCCACCAGAGGGAAGTCACTTGGCTGGGAGTAGTGTGTTATATAATGCATTATCTGCTTTTTGCTGTATTTGCCTTTTTGTTGATAAGATGTCTCACAGCAGCAATCTTGGTGTTAGAAATGGAAGAGAAAGTGGGAATATTCGTAAACTGAGCAGGAAATGATATAAATGAAATGATAAGTGTGATATAAGAATAAGTGTAATGGTTAATCACCCAGTCATCTCTGCTGCCTTGCTAGCAACATGAGGCAGCAGAACAAACTCCTTTCTATCTAGCACCTCTTCCTGCTGCTTCACCACAGCTCATGAGGACAATATTTTCTATAACTGTTTTACACGTACTCGCCTAGTTGTGCTTGCGGGGGTTGAGCTTTGGTTCTTTGGTTCTGCTTCTCAACTGTCTTATCAACTGGACTCGGTGTATACTGTATTGTACATATAATTATTGGCACTGAATTTGCCCACAGATAAGTGACAAAAGGGACAGTTTGCAAAATGGGGCATGATAATTTATTAAGGAGCAACTCTTGCACAATACTATTAATTAAACCACTACAGTAAATACTTTGTAGTTAAACCACTACAGTATAAGGGTTGTGCACAATACATGTTCATCAATTAATATTCTCACCTGAAACAGAATTATCAACAATAGCAATACCACACCCCAGGAGGGATGTATTCTTCACCTTGACAGAGTATATGTAGGAAAAACATCCCAAGACTTTTATGTTGGGATTTACGAGAATACGTACCTGTAAGTAAATTGTGCCTAACATACAATGTAAACCATACTAGAGTTGCACACAGCAACACAACAACCAGAAGTTCACAAGTTTCTTGTGAACTTTAGGAAGTCTAAACTCGTTGTCAAAGAAGAAAGCAAGATTACAATATGGTGTTTACTGTATATACAGCCATCAAAGACTAGAACTCCATCAAACACAGTGAAAGAGAAATTTAATATTGATACATTACTCATAAATAAATATTGTAATACATAATCCCTCACTGACATGACGCTTCCCTATTTTGTTCCTTATGAAAGGTAATCTGTGTTTGTTAATTTTATTAAACCCTGACAAGAAAACTGTCGTTTATAGTACTGTTAAACTGAACTCTCATCTTTCTTCCTCTACAAAATCAGGAATCAAATACGGTACGATATTTTATGAGTTTGCTATTTATAGCATAGGAACTAGAATTCCCCATTTTGAGTCGAACGAACCTGACTGTTTACAGCATAAAAGGAAAACCTATTTAAGCCCTAAACAGACTTCATTGTCTTTTTCATTTATTATTGCCTACAATATATCAAACATTAAATTAGTAAAAACTTGGCTATGCTTGTTAAGTTTATTTCTCTGGAAAAATAGACCCAGTACCTCTTGAGTTAAGGTGAGAACAAACGCATCATACTCTGCATAAAATATCTCTAGGCTCAAAGAATAGAACAGCCCAACACATACAATAATAAATGCAATATATAAGTATGTCAGTGGTCTACATACAGTAGCTGCAAAAAGTATTATTTAATCATGAGGATGGGTTGAATCTTTACATATGTACTCTACTACAACGTTGGGCTGAGGAACAGTGCATTCATGTGCCATGAGGTCATGGAAATCACAGCCTGTAAAAATTCCACCACTGATAATTCCACAGGTTCATAGTGTTGAAATTGCTACTTTTATCAAGTAGTAGCAAGAATATAGCAAGAAGCTATATTCAGACTAGAGTGATGTTAAAAGATTCAATGGCATCAAATAAAATAGTTCAAGATGTTTTTTTTGTATGGAGAAGGAATATACAATTGGGATAAGATTTGTCTAAGGCAGACATAAGATTTAGCCTTTTCAACAAAGTAATAGAGCCAAGTACAGTACTCACTACAAGTAAAATTGAAAAAAAGGCACAACCAAACAGACGACAAAGCCAATCAATCAAAATGTGTCCAAAATATTTATTCAAATTTTATACTGCACTAGTTTTGGTGCGTTAAATTTTAAAAACATTGGAACAAATTAAGCTTTATAAATAAAAAGAAAGCAGACATTGTTAATGTTGTACTGTAGAAATAAGTTGGGCAAGACTACTACTCTCTTAAATACAATACTGTAATGTAATGTAGAAATTCTTGTGATAAAGATACACACGTAAGGAAACCAACTCGCGTTTGTTGGTATTATGTCGGATTTTGGATCTGGAAATGTTGGGTTATTCAGTGCTATCTGTAATGTTTTTGTTGTGGTGTGCATATGCATTTTTTTTAGTGTTGGTGTGTGATGTGGCTCTGTTGTTGGGAGTGCTTAAGGAGCACAGTAAGGCAAATGTAAGACTTGCTGCCTCATTTGTTTATGTAGTCTATCATTTAAGAATTAATAAAGCAAAAATCTTTATATTTGGTAGTTTAACTAGCTACAATATAGAGGTGTTCTGTAGTACTTCTTCATTTGAAATCAATGTTACTATACCATCATGTTACTTAAAGACAGGAAGTTCAGAGGGGACATGTTTCATATAGAAATGTAATGTTTAGCTGAGCAGCAACAAAACGAGAGGTGATGCATGGAATCTGACATGCAGGTGAATCATAAGGAATGTCGTTGAGAGATTTCTGTAAAATATAGGTAGTAAGTGAAATTTTAGGGGGCTACAGTTTCATTTCCAAATTTAATATAAAAATATAGAATGTCAGAAAATCAGAAAGTGGATCCGGTAACTGAAGCTCAGTCCTTCAAATTCATTAGGTATATGCATGAGAAAGTTAAAAATAAACAGATAAATTTGCTAATTTGCAAAACTGTGAATATATTAAGAGCAACATTACAGCAGATGGAAAAAGAGTAAGGATACCTTGCTTTTGTCATGTTGTGTTGGTGCATGCAATTAATTTGATTTTTGCAGATGAAATGAGAAGCATATCGAATTCAACGAGTCATTCTGGGCGTTTGTTTTGG